AAGCTGCATCGGACTATGTCAGATGAGCTAAAAATGGGGGGGGGGGGGGCTCTGGAACTAACTCAGACCTGAAAATGGGGGTCTCTGGAACTAAGGTTTGTTGAATTTGGGATGCTTTGGAACTGGCTATGTTCGAAAATGGGGGTCTCAAGTTCATCATCGGATTTAAATAAACAAGAACAGCAGCAGCAGCAGCAGCTGACTATCCATCCATCCATATGCGCATGCGTTGCATGCATGCCTTCACGGCCCAGCTTCAATGTCAAAGTTCGATGCACTGGAGCGGAAATGTTAAAAACTAGGGTCTCCGGAACAGCAAAAATGTAAGATCTGCATGGTAACTAAACTTGTGATGCTCTGGAACGAGATATTCTTAAAAATGTGATGCACTGGAACGGAAGTTTAGGGTTGAAAATGGGGGTCTCTTCCGCGGCACATACCTACCATGCAGTATATATGGAGTGCCCCCCCCCCCCGGGATATTGGCCCAATGATATAAGACTAAAAGAGCTGTCCACATTTGGACATGTCGCATTGCGAAAATGAATTGTGGTCAGTGATATCCATGAACCCAAATATTAGCTCTACCACTGGTAGTACCACTTAGTGTAGTCGTAGCAATAGTCTGCCATTACAGGTGGATCCCATCCTGTAGCAGGAGTGAAGTTGCTACTCTGGTTGAGCTATACAAATATTTACTCGCTGCCAGAAACTTGTAATAAACTAAAGTAAAGCCAAAGTTACAGGCATTTCTTGTTTTTATTTACTCCTGATAAATATAGCTTTTCTATCACTATGGCTCCTAGGGTCTATGTACCCCAGGGTACTGCCGGAACGTACCCTGGTAACTATCTAGCTGATATGGTTAGGGTTAGGGAGTAGGCGTAGGCGACTCTCTAGATTCGTTAATGGAGTAGGCGAGGTACGGTCCGGCATATTAGATACTTAGTAGTATTTAGTACCAGGGTACGTTCCGGCAGTACCCTGGGGGACATATAGACCCTCTCAGCATCACTATGAATCAATGCATGTAGGTTGATAGCAAAAGTCTCTTTACACTAGTTGAGCTCGACGGACTTGCGGCCCCGGTTTTTGCGCGCAGCGCACAGCTCGCGGCAAAGCCGCACCCCAACAGCGAATACGCCGCCCCCTTTTTGTTCACTTAGACAGATACCTTAGACAGGGGTCTGAAAACGAACTCCGCGAAAACTGGCCGCAATCCAACCGATATTTCGCGATGGACGGCAGGAGGCCATCTCCAAACGGCCCCTAAACTTTTTTTGGGGTGGCGCGCCTCATGGCTAAGACGTATTGACTCCTACAAGAAATCTCAAGAAATGCTGTCAATCAGCGATGACGCGCTCGCTCATTAGCCGCTTCGCGATGACATGCACTACTGCCGAGTATAGCGTTATGTCTATCACAGAGCTTTTAATGAAGTGTCGTACGGTGCTTCACGTGGGGGGGCGCGGTCTAGATGCTATCTCCAAAAGCGGCGCCGCCGTGGCGGCGCCTGGCTGCGTACGTGCCACGTTTCGACCAACCTCCTGACCCCGCGCTGCCCGTGGCGACGGCACGTCATGCGAGCACTTGCGCTGGCGTGGCCGGCGTGGCTGGTGTGCCAAACCAGTAGCAGCACCAAATACTGGTCCCTGCTAGCTGCTGCAGCGCGGCTCAGTAGCAAAGCAGCAGCAGCAGGAAATGTCCTCCCCCAAGGTCGCCGTAGTCAAGCCGGTGTACGTCTCACGAAAACTGCGCAATGTTACCCTTTCCGCTATACGGATTCGCGCGCCCGCCCTCCTTCGGCGCGCGAATTCGTATAGCGGGCAGCGCGAGATGCTACATACAACACCCGTGGTAGCGTGCGCCCAGTCCCGCGGAAGTGCGCGGCTTAACCGCTTTCGGCGGTCGGGGAATAACATCTTTTGTGCAACGCCATCTTATACCCGGTCTCTCTGGATCTTTATGTGATAATCAATATAAAATATAATAATTAACATGATTATAATAGCAATTCTGTATGTAATTCAATCATGATTTTCAAGTTATGAAAGGGTCTGGGATCTCGTAAAACTTGTTGGGAATAATTTTGCTAGAATTTTTTATTATAGTAACTGCTATGTTTCTGTCAGTGTTTTCTGCGAGTCAAAGTTAATGTTAAGACTAAATAGTAGCAGTAGCAAAACTAGCAACAGCAGAAGCAACAAACACTGCCAGAAGGATGTGATTCTATAAAATATATTTCTGTCAGTGTCAGCATCAAGAATTTGTCCTGTATTATGCAACCAAGATTAGTTAGATGGGTGTCAATATGAACTATTTAACACCTAGATTGGATCGTCTAACCAAACTTTTACTGTGCTACAGTGCTATTAATATCATTTATGATACTTCAAAATACAAATTTGGGGACTGTTGTCACAAACCAAAATTTCCATTAATATCAGTGATAACATTGACCTTTTCTCAGATTCAGAATTTGACAGAATTTTGTTTTCTAGCATTATGTGAAAATTTTATTGGATTGTACATTTTTAGCTCATCTGACATAGTCAGATGCAGCTTGTAGAATCGCATCATCGTCCGTTCGTCCGTCCGTCCGTCAACAGTTTGGCACAAATCTTAACCGCTTGAC